AAAAAAATATAAAAATAAGTAATAAAAAAAAATAGAGCTGAATTTCGGAGGGAATGAAGGAAAATTACCTGCATCATCAGCAGTTGGTTAGACCTGGCTGGGTCAGGAACTGATCTACTGGATTCGCCCATCCCAGCAGTGGCCTTCAGCGACCAGATCCTTGCCCTGTCTACTTCGGACATGCCAGCAAAACTGCCGAAGTAGGCTTCAGCTCCTTCTCGGTTTTGACCCCATATGAGGTCCCAGATGTGATCTGGGATTGGAATTCGGGGGGCCGAGAAACCCATTTCTCCAGAATGCAGAGTCTGGAAAGAAGGGAAGGACGACGATGGAGCTTGATTAGCTTTGGTTGTCTCAGCATCGTCCTTCTCAGAGGAGTCAAGTACTATGACCTCCTCTTCTTCAGGGGTGAGGACGAAAGCCTCAACCTCTCTTGCGATATCTGCCGTGAAGCCTTCAGCACTTGACATCACGGCATCTTTATTTCCGTGCTCAGCAGCACTCTCCTTGATTTCTTCTTGGACCCCTCCCTTAGGTTCGGGAGTCCTCTGATCCACCTCCATCTCAGGAGGTGGCGGAGGGGTCTTTTGAGGAGATTGGGGTGTTGGCTGGGGAACCCTCGGCGATCCATTGCCTTCCTCAGGTTCCCTTATTGCGACGCCGATGGTCATCGGCCTCTGCTGAAAGTCATGAGGGCCGATGATGGCCATCCTTCGGCGCCTTTTCAGAAGGGGCTGCTCGTCCATATCTGAGTCTGAAGACTCTTGTATTTGATCTTCGGGACGAACAGGAGCTTTGCCTTCTCTGTGTCTGTTACTCTCTTCAGACTGTAACAGACAGGGGGGAAGAAGAGTGTGAGTAAAAAAAAAAAAAAAAAAAAAAAAAAAGAAGAAGAAAAGAAAAAAGTTGTCTGAAAGCTCACCGAGGTCTTCAGCAAAGCCTCGTCTTCTTCAGCTGCTCTAGCTGCAGCTTCGGCTTCAGCAGCTCTGGAGGACCCTTCTCCTCCTTCACAAGCCTCAAGTACCCGTGCAACCTCTTCGGCTGTGCGGGCAGCTTCAGCTTCTTCGTTCAGCAGCTGAAACCAAGGGTCTCTCTTCTTCCACCAAGGCTTCTGCCTCTGATACAGAGCGACAGCCTCAATTTGGAAGTGGGAAGAGTCCAGATGAACTTCCCTATGCCTCGGCTCAGTGATAGACGGGGCCCGTTCAGTTACAACTCGCTCTCGGTTAACACCAAGACGAGCGTAGTTAATACCAACGTTGGTCTCGTCTCGCTCTGAAAAAAGGAAAGGGAAAAAGTTTAGCTCAGATATGTTGGCACAGCATAAAAAAGCAAAGCGAGAGAAGAAAAAGAGGTAGTTAAAAAGCCTCGGCCCCAGCCGAAGAAGCTTACCATCCTTAAACTTTCGGCTGAGGCCAACAGCTGCTAGCATATTCTCTTGGAAAACGTAATGCGTATCGGGGAGCCAAGTCTCCGGGATATGCTGCATTCGACCACTCCCCCCCGGGTTCGGCAGCTTGCCGAAGATATGTTGCTGATCCAGGTTCGGATCCGCCCCGTTATCTGCGGGGGGACCTAGACTTCCCATTTCGGGATCAGGCTCAGCTAAGTACCGGGGAGCGCTGAAGACACAAGGGTGGCCCGGATCTATGGGTGCCCTAACCCAAATCCATTGACCTCTCCAGTCCTTGTCTGAAGAGTCATTTGGCCACATGGTCAAATATTGGGGCCGGGACTCAATCCGATACCACCCAGAACCATGGCTTCCGTGCCCACTCTGAATATTTGGCACTAGCCGATGGAGCTTTCTGAAGCAGTGCAGGTTCGGCACGTATCTGAAGAACTTGCAGACCCATAAGTATGTCATCACCCTTCGGATGCTGGTGGGGGTTAGCTGACATAGGGAAATGTTGTAATGGATCAGCAAGTCTCGGACGAAAACGTCCAAAGGGAACCTCAGCCCATACTGAAGCTGTCTCGTGTACACCCCCACATACCCCGGGGGTGGACGATGGATTCTATCGGATGCTGAGGGCATTCGGCACCAATATCCATCAGCTTCAAAAATGCCGTAGTGCAACTCAATTTGCTCAGCAAATCGATATTGATCGGCGTTCTCTACCCACCATGAGTAGGGGCGGTTCTTTATCATGGCCGAAGCGACTTCGGCATTCTCCCACTCTGAAAACCCAGGGAGGATATCCCAAAGGACAGCGGGAATTTCATCGTCCCGTCCAGAAGCACTCGGCTCATCCGTTCTTTGAGGAGGAGCCGAGGAAAGGGGAGTCGCCCTAATCCCATCAGCAGGGTCAGACTCCGGCCTTCGACCATTCCAGGTCCCAATCCTATTCCTAGGATCGGGAATCGGCCTTGCTCTTCTTGGAGCACGGGCTCTACCTCTAACTCCTCTTGCCATGGACTATTTCGAAGAGAAAAGTCGAAAGAAGAGGGGAAGGAGTTTGAATTCGAAGAAAAATAAACTGAAATCAAAGGAATTTACCTAATCTGAAGCGAAAGTTGCCGATTTACGAGTTCGTAGTGGCAAGTCTCAGCTTCTAAGCTCAATGCTCGGGGGAATTTGCGAAGTTTTGATACGGATTCTTGGATTCTCTCTCGAAGAATTCTGGGTTTGTGTTGGTGAATCAGTGAGGAGAATGACGCGCCTCTGTTTATATCTCCAGGTACGGGATACGAAGAGTCTGTGCTTTAATTTCTCTTAAGTACCCACTAAGTAACCATTAAACACATGTCTTGTGATTAAACCGCCCATTATCCGTCCAACTTCCGCAAATCATTAACCGTTGTTATCTCATTAATTACGGTTTAAATTCAAATTTTTGGATCAATTAAATCATTTACTTCCCTCCTTTTCTGAGTTAAATCAAACCCGACCCGTCATTCTTCCGAATCGGGTCTGGGGGGCAAGTTGTTTGGGTCCAATTTAGTCAAAATTGGGCCTGAGCACTAAATGATCCAATTAAAAGCCCAAGGTCAAGGTTCAACTCTCCAATTGCTCAAAAGTCAAAAGTCAGCCCACAAAGTAAGCCAATTGGGCTAAAGCCCAACCTCTCCAAATATGATGAGGTATAAAAGCCCTCATATTAACACATTCAAGGAGAGAGTCATATTCTTACATAAGACATCTCATAACATCGCATACGAGATCAGACACATTGTCACTTGCATTATCTCATACACCGATTATTGCAATTCATATGCTCATTCTTGCATTGAGAAATACTCCACAAAAGCCTCAAGCTACAAACTCTCTTGCATAGTGTCTTCCTTTTTACACATTGTACTGACTTTAGCATCGGAGGGGCCTTCCTCGGAAACACCCCCGAGGCTAGTTTACGTGTGTTAACTGTGCAGGAAACCTTCGGCCCAACACAGCTTGGATCGAATCCAGTCTTCTCCATTTTAGTGGACCTTCGGCAAGGTCCCATTGTTTTCAACCGAAACAGAGCTTAAGATGGGGGAATTTTGATTTCATCTCTTTTTACCTGCACTTGATATATATTATTTACTTTGGTATTCAATAGATGCTTGTACCACTAACTGATGTATGTTATGTGTTTCGTGTGCGTATTGTAATTCCTTTGGGGTTCAACATATGACAATCTTATGGGAACTAATTTTATGTGTTTATATTTCATATAGTAGGTAAATTCGAGTTTTATATTCTTTCGTATATTTTATATACATTAGCCTATTAGCTCAACGGGTAGAGCAATGTGCAAATGCACAAAAGATGTTGGTTCGAATCCCATGTAAGTTCATTATTTGTGTAATGTGGAGAATTGGAGACAAGAGTTTGCATAAGAGTTTAGAACATATGGAATATACTGAACATAAACAGAAAATTTTAGAATATAGGGAAAAAAAAAATTTAGAACATTGGGAAAATTTTAGAACATAGGGAAAAAAATTTAGAACATAGGACAAAAATTTAGAACATAAGCAAAAAAAAATTTAGAACATAGGAAAAAGTTTAGAACATAGGCAGAAAAAAAATATAGAATAAAGGAAAAAATTTAGAATATAGGAAAAACTTTAGAACATAAGCTCGAAAAAAATTTAGAACATAGGAAAAACAGTTAATTTAGAACATAAGCAGAAAAAAAAAATTTATAACATAGGAAAAATTTAAAACATAAGCTGAAAAACATTTTTAACATAAGAAAAAAAAAATTTGGACCATAAGAAAAACATTAGAACATAAGCAAAAAAAAAAAAAAAAAAAAAAAAAAAAAAAAAAAGAACATAAGAAAAAAAAATGTAGAACATAAGGGGTTCCTACATAAGTGTTCTTATATAAGGAAGGATTCTTATTGGATTCCTCCCCTAAAACTGATTGGTTCTTATATATATATATGGTGTTGAAAAGATAATTCCGTCTAATATAAGGATTTCGAAGATTGTTTACCATAGGGCTAGTTTTGCATGCTTGATTACTTTCAAGAGAAGGAATAATACTTTTGTAACTTATGTTACTCGTACTCAAATACTAGCTAGATCGTGTCCCCATGATAGGTAGTGTTAGGTTTTCGAATGAGTTATTTTACGAAAAAATTTCATGATCAATTGTCCTGTCCATCATGTTAAATTAGAGTTTAGGATCCAACAAGATTACTAGAAGTAAAATGAAGTTTTCAAATAATATAAGATATAACAAACATATGACTTTTTCCGCATGAAAAAACCTGCTATATGAGATGACTCCTTCATTTATACTTCCTCTGTCCTATATTACATGACGCAGTCAAACATTGGATACATGCCAATGCACTAACTTGACTTTAGTTTTATATAATTAAATATTAATGAAAATAATTTTTAAAATTATATCATGAAACTTTATATTAAAAACCTATCTAACAACATATTTTATGATAAAATATATTTTTATTAATTAGTAAAAAATTATGATCAACCCTAATGCATGAATAGTAAAAAAAAAAAAAAAAAAAAAAAAAAAAAAAAGTCTAATATCTCATGTATTATGGGACGGAGGGAATATATCTGTAAAATCATACTCCGTATTTCATATAAATTATACAGCAGTATATTCTTTATGAGTTTTGTACCATTCTCTACTTTTATGTAATTAACGACAATGATAATGAACAAATTTTATGATTGAGGAGTGGTCAAATCAATGACTCCCTATGATTTTACACAACAAAAAACTCAAAAGTATAATTACAGTCTTATCCTTAGAATACACACAAACACACACTATTGACTATGGATTATTATATTCGTTACTCAACATAAAGCTCATTTGCAATTTTGCATGATCCATATATAATGATATAAAGATCACACTACTCTTATAAAAACTATACCTCAAATATTCACATTCTCCCTTAGCTACCATAGTTAAAGCTTAGAGAGTAAAATGAGAAAAAACTTCATGAAATTCCGAGTATCCCGAGTAATCCCCACCTTCCATTCATGCCGTTCTAAACACCCTTCAACCCTCCCATCAAATCCTGTCCCTTCATTCCTCCACCACTCTTCTTCCACCTCCACCGCCGCCACCGCAACAACCCTTAACAAACAAATAAACCTCCCTACTACTCCGTCTTCATCACGCTCCTCCACAAAACGCCACGTGTCATCCGCCATTTCGTCGGCTCGTCGCGGTTGTTTAAGATCACACCCTTCCCCTGAACCCTCCCACACTGAATCATCTCCAAAACTTAAACTACCCTCCCATCATTGGCACTTCATCACTAAACTCCCCCAAGAATATCATAATTACGATTCTACCCCTCCTCGTCGTAAAATCTACAACTCCGCCGCATCCGACACTGATCACGAAAACGACGTCGTATTCCTCCCTCCCAAAACCAAAACCCGACCCGGAAGAAAAAACCGACGACGAAGACGAAACTTCCAGAAGGTTCGAATCAGTACCTCCTCCGACAGCGGAATCTTCAGCGACGATAATCAAGAGAGAGAAACAGAAACCCTCGTCTCCACCGATTCTACTAGCCCTAAAGTCAACAAAAAGTCAAAGGAGAGAGAAAGCAAGAAAAACCCGAGATCGTCGTTCGAGTTACCGGCGCCGGCGAGATTATCGGCGTTTATGAGAAAAATGACACCGTGTAAGGCGGTGGTTGACGGTAAAGTAAGAGAGAGTTTTGCAATCGTAAAGAGATCAGAAGATCCATTGGATGATTTCAAGAGATCAATGATAGAAATGGTAGTGGAAAAACAGATGTTCGAGGAAAAAGAATTGGAGGAGCTTTTACGTTGTTTTCTGTCTCTTAATTCAGAACGTCATCATGAAGCTATTGTACGAGCTTTTACTGAGATTTGGGATGGCCTATTTTGTCAGTCATCAGAGTAATTAAACCAGTTAGTTTATTAATTGCTAGTTTTAGTATGAATTGTATTTCATGTGCTAAGAGAAAGCTAATTTGACTGTGATAATTAATTAATTAATTAAGGGATTTAGATCTTGAGGTTAAATAGATGGTTAGAATATTCTTAATTGTATGATCCCGATTTATTGAGTTACATAATGGTGGTTGCTTAGTTCTAGAGGTTGACTATATATTATGTATGGCGGTGCTCTATGAGATTATGGCGGAATCGAGGGTAGAAATGTCGTTTTGTTATTTTTAGTAATCTTGTTGTTTCTAAATACTTTGTATGTAATGTCTGAGTCGTTTGATGTATAGCTTTAACGGTAAATCACTTGTAAAGTACTCGTGTTTATCAATAATAAAATTTACTTAGATTCGTACTCGTTTCATATCTTAAATTTTATAATTGTTATTGACTTATTATTAAAATTTATATGAAATCAATTATTATATTTAAGTCGATAATAAACATCAATTACTTTTCAGTATGCATAGAATTATTTACTTGCTTTTATCAACAACAGTTAGTCTAACCAAAACCCTAAATTGTTTTCTATGTAAAAGAAGCTCCCAAAAATAGTGGACTAATAAAAACAAGCCAATGAAGAGTAGTAGTAGTAGTACAAGAGTTAAGACAAAGCAGCAGAGAAATGATATGTAGAAGTAAACATAGAATTCTGATGGAGTACAAGTTCCGCAATTGACGCAGTTTGCAAAGAAACATGATCAAATTATAGAAAAAGAAAAGGGCCCACCTTGTCCAAACACTTTTGATGGATTGATGAAGGAAGCAGCAAGAAATACAATGATCGTATGTGTAGTAGTAACGCAAATAGCAATATATGGTTGGCACAGGATGATTCATGTATAAATGTACAAGTAGAATGAAGAAACATGCAGTATCATTGTGTTTATTGGGTTGTTTTTTAATTTGTAATTGATTGAGGCGTGCATAGAATATTCAAATTAATTTGCAGCTTAATCATTCAATGAATTGAATTATCATTTCTTCAAGCTTAGGACTTAAGAGTACGTATGTAGCCGATTCATTAGTAGCTTAACCTTTCGAGTTGAAGGTTGTTACATGCAACAATAATGTTGGCGTCTGTATACTAGAACTTTGTACATGATCGTGGTATTTGAATATAGTAGTTGTGAGAAAAAATGAAAATGTAAATTGTAACACGGAGTAATTATTAACATTGTTGATGTTTTGCTATTGTATAATCGGGGTTTTTAGTCTTTTGTTACGTGACTGGACCTAACTAATTTTGTTGTGCAATTATTAGTTAACCAATTTACTATTGTAATATTGTGTTCGAAGAACAATTTCAAGCAAAAAGAAGGGTAGGGCCATGAAAGGCAAAGGCAGATAATTAGAAAAAATGTACTCATTATTATTCTGAAATTTGGACTACACAAACAACTAGAGAATAGATATTATCCCTCCCATCTGTTTATTTTAACTTACAAATTACTTTTCTAATTAAAAAAGTACTTTGCATTCAAACTTGATATTTGAATATACACATTCAAAAAATGTAACAAATCTATCCCGCAATATTTTTTCAGTATTACAAGAATAAAATTATCAATTTCCATATGCTTTTAAACAAGAAGATATCTAAACTATCCAACATGTATATTTATGTTCCCATCAAAGATTCAAAGGAATTTAATGTGATCAATGTTGCTCATAGAATCAATTCATAATAAATGAGATTACGTGCACCATTTCTTAATTGCTACCGCCAAATTAAAAACCCTAATGTAACTTAACTTATGAAACGACATGAACTATGGCATGTGGATAGGCCCAAAAACTTAAAAAAATGCTCCTACATTATCAATTAAAATCTCTTTTGGTTTATACGTGCGTCTTTATTATGAGTAAATAAGAGTAAAAATTATATGCATCATTGAATTAATAGGATATTTATAGTAACGGTGAAAGTTATAGGAGCATGGTCTTGAGCCCTTGAACATGATAGTACTCTAATATAGAACTATAGTGTTGCATTTTGTACCATTCATTGTAAATTTCCAACTATTGTATGATATGACCTTCCAAAGTTCCTTGCATGCATGCACAACCATCCCTAATTAACTAAATACAAATAAAATCGTACCCCGCATGCCTCAACCTTTACAATGAGTTTACATGCAATATTACCCGGTTTGCATCCTTAATTTATCAAGTGTATAAAGTACGTATAATCATATTCGTATTAAAATGTTCACGTTTTCGTGATGTTTGTGTAACATGTGAATTTGAAAATTTATTATGCATTTCCGTATTTAAAAGTTCACATGTTCATGATGTGTATATTATGTGAATTTGAAATTTTGGTAGTGACTTTAAGCTAAGTCATAATGTGCGTGTGTGTATATAGGATGGACATCTTATCCATAACTTTATAAGTTAAGTATTATAGATGTGACAATGAATTCATATATGTTCATATGGGTAATAGCCGAAAATCAACTATACTGCATACCATTATGAGCTCCTGTGTAAATTATATACTAATGATAGTACCACTAATTACTAATATCTTAATTCGGCTCATTTGCTAAACGAAACAAATTTGTCAATTGATTTACTTTATTTAAGAATGTATTTTTTGTAGCTCTGTTGTATGAAATTAATAATTTAACGATAGTTGAAACTTGAGATTATCTAGCTTAGAATGACAAGATATGGGTCCCTTGATGCTTGAATCCACTTTTTCTTAAAAAAAGAAAAAGTAAAGAGAAATTCATTAGCTACTAATCTCTGATTCACTGACACTACCTTGCCAGCTACTAATGATCTAGCAACAATATTGATGTTAAAGTGTAAGTGTAAGTTTTTGTCCCACATCAAAATTAGACCCATAAAAAAATAAAAAATAAAAAAATAGTAAAAAAAAAACTTCTACGGAGTAGCTTATACTCCGTAATTTAAATGGACTACTACAGAATATTTTTATTGGCAATTGAATCTTGCTTGGGTTATTAATTTTGTCATGCCATTTTGTTTGGTTTAATGGAGTAGTTTTGTTAAATTTTTAAGTTTTTGTGAAGCGGAATTGACAAGAGGTAAAATTAATACGACAAAATGTAATAACATTAAACGAGTGAAAACAAAAATGATACTATTTCATAAATGTTTTTAACATGGGACAAACATTAAATGATAAATTTAACAAAAAAATAAATCAAGACAAACAGTAAGGGACGGGTGGTGTAATTAGATTCATATTCCATATACATCAAACATAAAGGGACGGGTGGTGTAATTAGTCACCCGTCTCATCACTCATTACCTTTGAAGAGGAGTAGCAAAATCAAATACTTCCTTTGTTATTAGAAGGATTGGTTATTCAATCTTTACACTTATGTTAGTAAGTTATATTGAGTGATATAATTTTTTTTTTCCTATCATATAAGGTAAAAATAAAAAATAAAAAAAAAATAAAAAAAAAAATTAAGAATAATAAACTAAAATATAATCGAGATAATCTTATTGTTAGAAATAGAATATGTCTTGAATTTGTTATCCCATTTATAATATTCATTAATTTACATTATCATCAAGAATAAAAACTATTATTTATGAACATACGAGTAGTTAATTTATCGTGGTCTCACCTGTTCATTTCGTAAATTTTTGTCACATGTGTTTTCCGTAACACTAAAACAAGGGAGTTAATTCGTCAAAAGAAGCACGCCAAAGTAGAGCTTTTGTAAAGCTGTGATTCTTTTTAGGGTACAGTACGACAGGGCACCGTCGTGGGAATGGTTAGTGTCATGTAGCCTGTTGCTAAAATAAATCATCAGGTAATATTTCAGAGAAGTTTGGAACACACGGCATCAGAGAATCAGTTACCCCTTCCTACTGATATAAAATTAACAGGCTCCAATCTCCATCCTTGACTTGTCTTTTGTGTGACTAATTTTAATTAGTAGCTCAGTTCCCAAAATATACTCATAAATCTAGTGATCATCTATCAATCTATCTATGAATGGATATGTCCTTTCATTAGATTACTTTCCATCCCACCACATTGTTTGGAGCTTTTGGATGTTTGAACATTTTGTTGGTACTTGGTAGTGTCACTGCACCCGGCCACCTCTAAATTTAAAATAGATGGCTCAATTCGGATAACTGAATTGGGTGTGGCGAGTATGTTAATAAATTAGTCCATACTCCATACAAGTTGATCTTTAAATTGGGTTTTATTCGGATTAGATAGGATCAGTTTTTGACACCCTATAACTATAATGTAATTCTTGATTTTGTTACATTTCTTATTTTGCATTGGATTAAGATAAGAATTTTACTAGGGGTGTCTCAAGGGGTCATTTGAGAGGATCAAATTAAGAAAAAAAAAAGTTATTCTTGTTAGTGAAAATTTTTAGATTAATCAGAATCCTATGATAAGAATAATGCTTGAAAAGTTTCACACATAGTTTATGATAATGATAAGGTTTGAAATATTTTATACAAAGTATTGTACTGGACTATTTTCGTATTGGGTCATATCATGTCTTTGTCCAAAGTCATTTTCTAAAAGGGCATACAATTCATTGACAATTTTACTCTCTTTAGTTTGCACTCTTACAATCAAGTTCAATAAGTTCCAGCTAAACAACGCATCAATATTTATTGTATATACGGTACAATACATTTTGATAATTGTGCTTCCACGAGAGTTGTCATCATAGCTCACAATGTATTGCTTATACCCAATGAAACTTACTTTCCGGGATCCTACTCGCCTTTCATGGCTGAGGTTAAAGCATTCCAAAATGGGCTCCTCCTTGCGAAATCTTTAAACAATCAACCATATTTGAATTGAAGCAGGCAACCTTACTGTTATAAATATTTTGTAGGGTAAATCTTCTTGTCTATGGAAGATTCATTTGCTTATAGATGAAGTTAAAACCATACTCCAACAATTTAAGTCCTTTCGGTAAAGACATGTCTACAATAAAGCTAACATGGTTGCTGAATAACGTTGCTTTGCTAGGACACGAAAACGGACAATCATCAGCAAATAGAACCTTTCTTAGACAATAAATTTTCCTATTCTAATAATTAAGATAGAGTAGGTATTGGTCTTAAGATAAGATAGGCCTAATTGTAATCGTGTATTTTTTTTCTACAAAAAAATAAATTAAGAAGAGTAAAAACTACATTCCCTCAAGTACAATTTCCAAAATCATGTGGATCATGGATCACTTTTTGTTCCAAAAATAATCCAATGTTCAAAACATAAAATTCTCTCTAAGCCCAAAATACAAACCACAAATCCCCTACAATTGAGCACACCCTAACTCCCCTACACCCTCACACATCAACCAATCACAACCCTCTATTCCACCACCTACAAAACATTCC